CTTGGGGTATATGGCGGCTCACCCCGCCCTTTGTTCTTCTGCATGCTCCCCCGCTTCCCTCATAACCTCCACTCCCCTGGGACTCATTTCTGGACGGGCTGGTGGGGATACGCGAAGCGTCTAGAATTTCTCCAATGAGAACTCCACAATCTGTCCTGTTCGAACGCGCGCAGGGCGGCCCCTGGGAGTCCCCGGACAACAAATATCCTGATCAATTTCTGGAAACCCTGTTTTTCTGTTTTTCTTTATTCTGGGTGTGACCCAAAAAGGGTTCCCAAAAGCGCTCCAAGTCTCCCGGCGCTCCAGGAACCGACCCAAGACGATGCCAAGAGGGTCCGACTGCGTTCCAAGACGGCCGAAGTTGGCCTCAGGAAGACTGCAGTGTGTCCCAAGACAGCTCAAGACCGCTCCAAAACAGCCCAATATCGCCTCTGCCCAATATGGCCTCAAGCAGCCCAAGAAGCCGCCAAGAGCCCTCCGAGAGGACGCCCGAGAGGGCCCCATAAGGGACAACACATTTATTTTAGTTTGGTTTTACCAACGATTCTCGAGTTCTTGCCTTTTCGGGCGTCAGTCGGCTCAAGACGGCTCAAGACGGAACTAAACTGACACAGGAGGCCTCCACGAGGCCCCCAGGATCGCCCCAAGTCAGTCAAGAGGACGGCCACCGGACGGCGCAAGATGGGCCCCAAGACGGCCAAAGAGGCCTCCCAAGAGGGCTTCAGATACCCACAAGAAGGGCCTCTATGAGGAGGAATCCAAACTAACATGCCGAGGCTTCCCCGAAACATGGTCCCCGAGACCACCAACAAGCTCCCAAGAGGTCCCTGGAGACTCAAAAGACTACCCTTAGAGGCTTTAGGTCTCAACGATGCCGCCAACAAAGCTCCGAGACGCTTCCCGAGAGACACGAATAAGCATATTGAAGGGGCGTCTTGAACACGACCCCGTCTGGCCCCGAGAGTGCCCCAATAATCAATCGATATGCCTTCTCCTCCTCCTCCTCCTCCCCTTCTCCTCCTCCTCCTGCTCCTCCTCCTCCTCCTCTTGCTCCTCCTCCTCCTCCTCCTCCCCTCGCTCCCTCCGCCTCCTCTTCTTCCTCCTCCTCCTCCTCCTCCTTCTCGCTCGCCACGGGCACACCAACACACAGCAACAGAGATGCAATATGGGCCTGCGAAGTGATCGAAACTATTAAATCCGCCAGCCCCCTTTGTGGGCCAACAAACTGCAGGGATGAGGTTTCCTGCGACCTGTTTCAATTTTAATTTCCAGTCTCCGATATGAGAATTCTACTGTCTGTTTCCTACTGTAATCCCACCAGCCCTTTGGGCGTGAGTGGTTTAGAGAACCCGCTCTGTCCTCAACCCCCCTTCTTCCCCTTCGGGGAGGGGTTTACCCCTCCCCCTACCCCTCCCCCTGGGCCTGGAGAGGGCGGGCCGCGGGTCGTCAGGGGAGTCTTTTTCGACTCCTGGGAGGGCCAAAAAAACGACGACCCTCACGAGGATTTTGGCGCCTGAACTCGTCCTCACTGGCCCCGAGGGGGGGGAGGGAGTTTGGCGCCTGAACTCGTCGTTGAAGTAAAAACATTGATTTTACTACGGTTTTGGCCCCATTTTGGCCTTCTGAGGGGGCCGCGTTCCTCTTCCTTCTTAGCAAAATCATTGATTTTACGAAGGTTTTGGGCTCATTTTGTCCTTCTCAAGGGTCTGCGCTTATTAGCGCTTCTGAGGAGGTCGCAAGAGGCCCCAAGATAGCCCCAAGAGGCCCCCAGGAGGCTCCCAAGAGGCCTCCAGGAGGCCCCCAAGAGGCCCCCAAGAGGCCCCAAGAGGTCCCCAAGAGGCTCCCAAGAGGCCCCCAAGAGGCCCCAAGAGGCTCCAAGAGGCCCCCAAGAGGCCCCCAAGAGGCCCTCAAGAGGCCCCACGAGGAGCCCGAACGACTCACACCAGGACGACGGGCCCGAAGGCCTCACACCACGAATAGCCCGAACGACTCACACCACAAGGAGGGGCCCGAACGACTCACACCAGGACGAGCCGCCCGAACGACTCACACCATGAGGAGCCCGAACGACTCACACCACGACGCGGGCCTCGAACGACTCACACCACGAGGAGCCCGAACGAGTCACACCAGGAGGACGGGCAGCGCTCATACAAGCCCCCCACGATGGCCCCCAGAGGTCCACCAGATGGCCCCTAGAGTTCCCCAGATGGCCCACAAGAGGTCCCCAGGAGGCACCACGAGGCCTTATGTTTCGCAAGAATTGCTGTTTTGAGATGGGCTGGTGGGGATACGCGAAGCGTGAAGAATTTGTTACTGTCCGCGCGAGGGGGGGAACCGCAAACTAGCATTTTCACAACGGCCGAGTCGCGTGCTCTACATTTCTGGGGGGCCCTGGGACATGTGCAAATACTCGAGATTCGCGCCCCCGAGGGAATAATCCAGTGGAAGTTACAGCAGAGTCGCCCTACCGAGGCCAGAGCCCTTGTAAAGTACACCATATTCGCGCTACCGAGGCCAAATTCTTGTGTAAATTACGCTAAATTCGCGATCCCGAGGTCAGAATCCGTCGTGCATTACGCCAGACTCGCGCTTCGGAAACCGTATCATTTCGAAATTCTGTCAGGTTCGCGAGGCCAGAATCTGTCGTGAATTACGCCGGATTCGCACTCCCGAAGCCAGATTCTCTGGTGAATTGCGCCAGCTTGTCGCCCTGAGAAGAACACAAAGCGTTCAACAGCGCCGACACGTCCGGGCATGGCTTTGACATCTCCCATTATGATATGGAGGTGGCCGGCGACTGAGGGCGAAGCCCTTGCGGATAACATACCTACAATCAAACCAACATGCGGTTCTGGACGAACATCTGGGCAGTCGTCTGCTTCCGCACTGCGGCTACATGCTACCCGCAGACATCGCTGCTCAATACTCGCTGCCTTCTATTTGACTTCGCTTATTATTGCTCGGTAAGGCCGAACATGACTAACATGTCATGGCACAATTTCCAAGACATTGCCTAGTCGCAAACACGATTCGTAGCCCGATGCCGTTCTGAGCTCCTACGACGCACCAATCGTCCTGGATCTTATCCAGTGCTCTCCGCACTTGTGTCTTCTGTATTACCGCATGCAAATTATTCTGTGCCTTGTTGCACGCGCGTGTGCTTCCGTGTGCGTGCGCGTATGCCAGCTGACAACAATCCCCCTTCTATAACTGTGGCGTGTTTTGAATGCGACCCCCAGCAAGACCCAACAAGCAAAGACCGTCTTTTCAAGCCTGCCCACGGCGGCGACTGCTGCTCCGCACGCATACGGCTGAAGCAAATGACTTCCAATGCGCGCTTCGCGCTGCGGCGGAAACCGCGGGGCAGACTGCTGCGACCGTTGCCATCTTTCCTGATGTGACTGCTGCCGGCTTTTCTGATTCCCCACTGAAGGCAACATATGAACTGGCAGATGGAAGTTCCAGGCTACCGAGTGTGTATCCCAATGAGAAACGCCAACACGCTTCCTGGCCATGCCCCTATTTGATCGCATTGGGCTGCCGCCCAAATTCATCTCTGGCTCTTTGCGCCGCAGTTTGGCACAAAGCAAATATTACTGCCACGGTGCCCTCGACGAAATGGAGCATATCAGAATACATATTCGGTGTCTGGTGGGTCTTGCTGTCTTGCATGTGCGACCTCCCTCTCGCCGCGGTCATCCACAACAACTCGCACCGTTTTGCTGCCAGGCGACACTTTGGGCCCCAAACTGGCCTCAAACCAGGCCGCCCAAGAGTGTCGCAGGGTCACCCAAGACAAGCTCGAGACGGTCCAACGACTTCCCAGAGGCCCCGAGTTACCCCAAGACCCCCAAGAGGCAACAAGAAGCCCTGAAGAGGCGCCCGAGGCCTCCAGCGGGCCCCGGGATATCGAAAACAATGGACAACCATAAGAATTTAGTAATCTTGTGCTTCCCATGCCTTTCAGCATAATGTTGCTTCGGGAAGGTTTCAGGCGAACTCGAATGCCCCCAAGACAACCCAACACTGCCCGAGAACCCTCCAGAAGACGGTCCTGGGGCCCACCCGGTCTCTTCGGGAGAGCCCGGCAGAACCATCGCGACCAGACACCTTCAACAGGCCCCCAGCATGCCTTCGAACTGGCCTCAAGAAGGCCACAAGCGCCTCCGAATGGCAAACACACAAGCCCCCCCCTGTTAGCTTCGTAGATGCTCGTTCTGGGGACCTTCCTAGAGTCACTCGATCCACTCACGCGTCGATGCTGCGTCGAACGTCCGTCGACTTGAATCAAACTTGGGTCGAACTTGAATCGCGCTGGAGTCGCGCTAGAGTCGAACAGATCCGTTACTTAGGTGGGCCCCAGGAAGACCACCCAAACGAACATCTAATGCAACGCTACGGCCGCGCCACGCTGCAGTATCGCGACGGCCACAATATGGTCCTGCCGATTTTTGATAGGAGACCTCGGCAGAACCACTGTGCATTTCGATGATGCGCTGGCACGTGGCTAATTTGCCGCGGGCAGCTGGATCTACTTTTACGCTTTTTGCACCTGCCCTGCGTGCTTGCTCTCTGTTCATCTTCTCTGCTCCCTTGTTCTTTAATTGCCTCATTTGTCCTCTCCCTCACTCGCTTGCTTCATGCCCTTTCCTCATCTCTCTTCCACTTCCCACTCGCCCTGGCCCGCTCATCCAGTTCCCCCGCCAAGCGCATCTTGCGAGCATGTGAGGGACCACATTGTTGAGCTGTTCCCCATGGATTCGGGGACGGAGTACGAGACGACAGAGCCAGGGGGGCGTTTCTTTAGAGGGGACGTTTAAACTGCTTCTTGATCGATAGCTCCTCGATGTTGACTGTAGGACCAGTTGCTGCCAGCAGCTGGTCCCTCGCCTCGTCCCCCTCCAATCGAAAACGAACCCTCCTCGGACATACCTCCCTCGCTGGGCCCTGCCTGTCAGGAAGGCGGCCGCTACTTCCCCTCGTGGAGGGTGAGACGCTCAGAGCAGAAGAGCCTGCCAGGAAGGCGCCCTGCCCGAAGCGGTCAGACTTGGCCTGGCGGCGCGAGGCTCCAGAGGAGAAGCCGGAGCGCAGGGGCCTCCACGCCAGACCTCCGCCGTCACGACTGATCGGGGCGACACCGTACGTTCTCGAGCTTGGCCCTCTGGGAGCCCACGTCGGGCCACGGCCCGCGATGAGAACTCGGGCCCGAGGTGGGCGGGGCCGGAGTGGTCCCAAGGGCCAACCGCCACGGAGGAGTCGTGACGTCGGACGCCTGGGGAAGAGGCGGGGTGCAGGGTGCACACACAGCACGTGCGCGCGGCGATGAGAGGTCTTGTCGTGCGAGGTCGAGCGGCCGACTCCAAAAACGCCGCCTCCGAAAACGTTGACGTCTCCCTGGCCTCCAAGAGGGGCGGAGCCGCCGCCGGTCTGCTCTGGTGGGAGGGCGGACTGGTGCAGGTTGCTTGTGATCACATGCGGCGGCACTTGGATTGCGACACCACCACGACTCGCTATCTCCACCCCGTACATATCCCACCCCGTACATATCAATGTTGGCCTCGATGCGGCACCCTGGGTCCAGGAGGACAAGCACTCTCAAATCAACGTGGAACTGAGGGACAGGGGGGATTAGAGGCAGAAGAAGCGGCATAAACATAACTTTCGGCGCTCCGCGCTGAGGAGGGCCATCAGGCTGCGGTGATAAGGTTTCCTGGAACCTGCCCCGGTTTCAGTTTCCAGTCTCCATTGCTACAGTTATCATTTTTGCTTACTGCTGTTACTTGTTACTGTTCGCGGGAGGAGGGGACCGACAACCAGCCTTTTACCTGCCCCCTGGGGGTTCTCAGAATTCATTGAAAAACGCAAGTCTCGCGCTCCCGAGGCCATAACCCCACATGAATTTCGCAAGATTCGGGCCGCCGAGGCCAGAATCCTTTGTAAATTAAGTTGGGATCGCGCTCCCGAGGCCAGAATCCTTAAGACAGTACACTGCGCTCGCGCCCCTGAAACCAGAATCTTGTAAGTTGCTCCGGATTCGCTGTCCCGGAGCCAGAAGCCGTCATTACGCCAAATTCGTGCTACTGGAAGAAGAATATTTGTACATCGCAATGGCTCTCGCAACCAGAATCGATTCTAAATTTTGCCAGGCATGCGTTCCCGACGCTATTATGCCTTCTCAATTAAGCCAGATTCGCGTTCCCGAGGCCAGAATCCTTTGCACATTACGCCAGAGTCGCGCGGGAAACGTTCCCATAATGCAGTAGTGTTCAAGACTAGCCCCAACACCTCAAGACGCTTTGCCGATTCCTATCGGTCCCCACATGATGCCTCCAAATGTCTTCAAGACGGCGCCCAGACACCCCGACACGGCTCTGCCATCTTCCATTATTGCAGAGGGGGCTTGGCGGCAGAGGGCGAAGCCGTTACGAATTTACACGGATTGAGGGCGGCTGTTTTCCGTAGAGTGGCCCTCGCTGCCTGATACTCCATGGTCCTACCTCGTCGCCGTCCTTCTAACCAGAAGCGTGGACGACAACATCTTCTTGAACCGGGACTCTCGCCTTCATTGCAGGATGATGTGTCGCTCATCTCTCGAAGGGGGCACTTCCCGCAGTGAGAAGGAGTTCCTGTATGGACATCGCTGATGCATCATCGGTTTTCTCTGATCCTCCTCCTCCTCCTCCCAAAACTCCGACGCGTGTTCTTTTACATAACATGGCTTCCCAAAAATCTGGGCCCCTTCCCAAAGACCGGCTTTTCCTGGGCCGTTTTTTGATGGTCCCAGAGCCCAGCAAAGGCCCCCGGAGGTTGAACATGGCCAAACACCTTCCGCCGTGATTTCTCACGACGCGGGTAGAAGACAGCCTTCGAAGGCCGCCACCCCCCTTGGGGTGAAGAAGGCGCCGACGGACGCCTGCGTCGCCGCCCAGCCGGCTCCTTGAGAGCTCCTCCCCAAGGGCGCAGATGCCCAGAGGGTCGGGTGGTCGCAGCTCGGCCTGGGCCCGCCGCCGTGCAGAACCCTCGTCGTCGTCGTCGTCGTCGTCGTCGGCGTCGTCGTCGGCGTCGCCGCCGCGGCCGTCGTCGTCCTGTATACGCGCAGGAAGAATAGGATGATGATGGTAATGATGACGACGATGATGATGGTGATGGTGATGGTGATGCTGATAATAATAATAATAATAATAATATAAATAATAATAATAATAATAATAATAATGTTGATGATGCTGATGCTGATGCTGATGACGAGGAGGAGGAGGAGAAGGAGAAGGAGGGGGAGGCGTGAATGGGTGGGAGGGAGGGACGAGGAGGGAGGCAGAGGGGGAGGAGGGGGGAGGACGAGGGAGGGAGGAAGATGGGCATGAGGAGGAGAAGGAGGGAGGAGAGGGACGGGGGCGGGGGGGAGGTAGGGCGGGAGGGAGGGAGGGAGGAGGGGGGAGGAGCATGCTCGAGGGTCTTGAGCGGGCTTGCAAGGAGTTTTACGTATCGTGCTCTCGCAAAATTCCAATAGCCTAGGGGCCATTCTGACGAATGTAACAATATTTCCTTGCGTTACCTTCGCCTTCCTCGTCGTCGTCCCCGTCGCCTTCGTTAGAGTATTCGTCGCCGTCGCCTATTGCTGTTCTCACTGCTGCCATGACCGTCGTCGTGCCGTCGCCGTCCACCGACGCCAGCCACGGCTCTAGCTTTGACCCTGCAGAACCCCCATTTCTTCCCTCTCCTTCTCAACGGTCTCCTCTGGTTCCTCCTCCTACTCCTCCTCCTTCCCTTCCTCCTCCACTGTTTGTCCTACTCCTTCCCCTGTATGTCCTACTCCTCCCTCTCCTGTTTGGCCTTCTCCTCCTCCTCCGCCTCCTCCTCTTCCGAACACTCCTCTGTCGGTCATTCTGGTTGCTCCTTTTCCTCCTCCTCCTCCTCCGGATACTCAATCCTCCTCCTTGCCTCTACCATCCCTCCCGCTCGTCCTCCTCGTTTTTGCCCGTCGTCCTCGTCCTCCTTGAGCTCCTGCTGCTGCTGCTGCTGCTACCACTGCTGCTCTTCTTCCTCTTCTCCCTCCTTGGATGATGATGCTGATGATGATGATGATGATGATGATGATGATGATGATGATGATGATGATGATGATGGTGGTGGTGGTGGTGGTGGTGATGAGGATGCTGCTGATGATGATGACGACGATAACGACGACGACGAGGACGATAAGGATGATGCTGCTGCTGCTGATGATGATGATGATAATGATAATGATGATGATGATGATGATGATGATGATGATGATGATGATGATGATGATGATGATGATGGTGCTGATGATGCTGATGATTAGGATGCTGATGATTATGATCATGATGCTGATGCTGATGCTGATGCTGCTGATGCTGCTGCTGCTGCTGCTGATGACAAGGAAGAGGAGCAGGAGGAGGAGGCGGAGGAGGAGGGGGAGGAGGAGGAAGAAGCCTCCTCCTCCTCCTCCTCCTCCTTTTGTGCCTCCCTCTCCTCCTCCCCCTCCTCTCCTCCTCGCCTTTCTTCTTCGGAGTGCCGACGTACGGGGAAACGCGCCGACGTACGGGGAAACGCTGCAGTTTCTCCTCCTCCTCCTCCTCCTCCTCCCTTCCCTCGTCGCCTCTCCCTTGGGGCAACGCCAGAGGGCCAACAGGGTCCGAGCGAGGGGTCAAACCCCGGCAGCTGCGTCGTCCTGTTTTGTGCTGGCAGCTGATGGTTGCATCACATATCGCACGGTAGCTGCGGGCCCTACCCTTCGTGAGTCTCATGGCTCCCCTAGCTCTCCGTGCTCCCACTGGTCCCCCTGCATCTCCTGCTTTAGGGGGGCGTCCCTACTCTTCCTCCCCCTCCCCCCTCCCCTCCTCCTCCTCCTCCTCCTCCTCCTCTTCACCTCCTCCTCTTCACCTCCTCCTCCTCCTCCTCCTCTTTCTCCTCCTCCTCCTCTTTCTCCTCCTCATCTTCTTTCTTGCATGCGCCTTGTTCGTCAGGTTCCCCCCCAAGAACTAGCCTCCCATGCCCATTCCCCATTCTCCTTCCTCTCACGTCCCTCCCTCTACTCCTTCCCGTCCCCTTCTCGTCTTCAATCCACCGCCCCCTCCCCCCACTCCCTCTGTAGCCTTCCCCGGGCCCACCTGTAACCCCTCCTGTGCTGTCTGAAACCACTGGGCCGCTTGACTCCCGAATGCCCGACTCTGAATCACGTTCTCAACCTGCTCCTCCTTCTTACCGGTCGGTTGGGCGTTTGTCGGGGTCGCCTGGTGAGCTTTCTCTCTCTCTCTCTCTCCTTCTCTCCCTCTGTCTGTCTCCCTCTTTCTCACTCTCTCTTTTTTTGTTGATTTTTTCATCCTCTCTCAGATCTCTCTCTCTCTCTCTCTGAAGATGTCGTCTGCTGTAGTTTTTGGCTGGGGCCCTGCGGGCACCGCCTTGCACACATGCCTAACGACTTGCGGCTCGCGCATCGGTGTTCAGAGCTCTTCGGTTTGGCCTTCGCGAAGAGCATGTGTGCAGGGCCTTGATGGGTGGGTCTTGACCAACCAATGGTTTCAGAATGTAGGGCCCGAAACAATCGAAAGTAACGTGGTAACGTCACATGGTGCATCGCAGGCAACATCATGTCATTGCATAAGACTGATGTAGAATTTGTGAGTCGAAGGATGGGGTGATCCCTTACCTGTCAGATAGCACAGACGAATTTATCGGTGAACGAATGCACCTCCAGGGCGATTTTTTTTCCCCCTGGCGATCCTCGCCGAATTGACTGTCATGGAGGGCAGCAGAGTGGCATAACATCGTGTTTGGACGCCCGAAATGGGTACGGAAACACAGGGTACAATGCCTAACAACAGATGTTGTTCCAAACTAGCAGCGGCCGCTGTTGGGCAGGCGGCCTTCTGTCTGAAATGGACAATCCGCGGCGACAGCGACAGCGACTTTTGTTTAGAATGAATAGGCACTGCTGTCGGTCTTTGTACCCATTCTTCCCGTACCCATTTCGATCGTCCCGATCTTGAATAAGAGAGTCGTACGCGAGATGGCATCGCGACCTTCCGCGGTGCCTTACGCGGGCCGCCACCGCGTCACGCTACACTGGAAACGAGGGCGCTTACGTGCGCGACCTCCTGCGGGCAGCTTGCGCGCAGATGTCCGTACGATCGAACTCGTTGCTCTGCGTCGCTCACATGGCCAACAAAAACAAGACCCGCCTTCCGCTCGGTATTCCCTCGAGGCCTTCAGGCATAGACGGGCGCCCTCTGGTGGATGTCCGGCAAGGACACGGTGCCGCTGTCCTGCATCCCCCAGTTGGGTCTCTTCCCTGGCACATGCTGGACTTCCTGCCTGCGCACCGTGACCCTCGCAATTTTCACCAACCTGATCGCCTTTCCGGCGCTCACACGGCGATCAGTCCGAGAGTGCATCAAGGACTGGGCGCGCGTCGTTGAGTTCCAATCCCTCTCATTCATGCTTGTGCCGCCATCCGCTACCCCTCCTCAGATATCAAGGGCTGGAAACCCACCAACCCAACACGAAAACCAACTTCGAGGGGAGAAGCATGGAACAGGACAGTATGAGGACCTCTGAGAGCGGGAAGTGTCTACCAAGAATCTCGGTTGGACATGCCCTGAAATCTTTCTGGGGACATTCAAACATAGCCGTGTCCTGTCTAAAACTTGCCCTGAGACAACATGCCACCCGCAAGAGTTGACCCGCTTGCGCCGACGAAATTGGCAGCGCCGATCAGATTGAAGATTGCCAATGCCGCCCACTCGATGGGCATTTGCCGTAACAGCCCAGGACACCGTGGGATTGACTGGACATTGATTATGATTCTCGCCAGCCCTCTGGGAGTTCCACGCGTCTCCCCATCGAATCCAGCACTCTCTGCGACTTGACAGCGACACGGTCCCCCCGTCAAACCGAACTTCCCGCTTCCCTCCTTCACCAAACTGCCTTTGGTCCGCCGGTCACGGGTAGTACCCGTGCGCCCTGAAGAGTCGCCGTCGTTTGGCTTGAGGCCGTTCTCCAGCTGGTTGGCAAAGTCCTTGAACAGAGTATGCACCTCAAAGAACTAACAACCACCCTCCTTCTCCTCTACCTGCGTACCAGGCTCCAGGCTCATCCGTCTCCTCCAAGCACCCCGCATCCATTCCGTCACCTCGCCAACGTCACCCTGTGCGCAACCAAATCGCCACTTTCTTTCAATCGCAATGCATCTTAGACTGGCGTCCACAAACTCTTCAATCGATCAATCGAAATATCGACTGCCTAGTGGTGGACGAAGGAAACGGGTCACATGACGGACAATTAATTGACCTAAATGGTGGTAGCACGCGACCACCTCACCATAGGCATACTCCAGGATCTTGCTCCCTTCGCCCTCCTTCTCCTTGACTCCTCCTCGCTCCTCCTCCCCCGCTTCTGCTCCTTCCTCTCCCCCTCCTCCACCCTCTTGTCCTTGTCCCTGTCCCACCTGCTCCTCCTCTGCCTCTTCGACCCCCCACATCTCCCCCCGGCGGTCGCGCCACCCGGGACTCCCATTCACGGTCTCTCTACCTCCCCAAGGCCCAAATTTGGACACATCGCTAGCACCCTCAAAACCGCCTATGGGGATGCACCCTGGGCTCCATAAACTAAACAAGAACTGCGATCCCTTGATCTCCAACCCAACCACGACCGTCCATGGGGCCAGGACTAGTAACCGATAACTGCTGCAAAGCCTCGACCGCCACAAAGGGACCGCGGGCTACGAAACATGGGGTACGGTTTTACGAGGAGGTGGGACGCAAAACTTGCCGAGAAGCCCGCCCTGGGTTTGCACTCGGCCACGTCATGTCGCCAGGACTGCGCAGTGTGGAGGGCAACCTTCTGGCAGGCGACGGCGCGGTGACTTCGCCTTGCGCTTGCCAGAATTACTGCTTGGAGTGGCATACGTCAGATCAGTTAAGACACCTACCCCTTGGAACATCGACCTTGAGGCTGCGAAGGCCAGCAACAACACTCAGTACAGACCGCCAATTTCAGAACTCATCACCACGGAGAGGGGCCGGTTGTTCAGCTAACGGCCCCCTGCGGAAAATAGGTTTGTGCAATAAAGATCGGCGGCCGCAAACACAAAACCAACAACGAACATAATGCGACACACTCAATCCCCTAATCCAACATACTAGCACTTTCCAGAGAACCGTCACTAGTGATACAATATGAGAACTTGGGCAACCATGGCAGTATAACAACACAGATGCTGGCACTACGATCTCGTACAAGCTGCCGAGGCAAAGCACAACAACAACACCACCACCAACAACAACCACAATAACCAGACGGCGTTGAAGGGGGCATTGGGGAGCCCTGGCCCAAAACGCGATGTCAAAATAATCCAAATCATCATCAACCGAAACATGCACATCAACATATGTGACATGGGCTAAACACCTTTGGGGCTAGAGCCCTATCTTACAACCCACGTCCTGAACCTGTATGCTTGAATGCGCTTCTTCTTCCAACCCCTTCTACCATTCCGGCCAGGGTTTAAACTTGCTTCTCATTGCGAAACACCCCATCTCCAGCCACCCAGTGAACATTTGGCATAGGCTTGTGTCAAGGATTGCGTGTATGACTCATATTTGTCTACTGTGAGAAGACCCACCATCCCGATCAAACGCGTATGCAAACCGACTGCGGGTGCGCACGCCATACACCTGGCTGACCATACGCCGCCACTTTGCCCTGGCCTTTGTTTGCCAAGCGTTGTTGGGATGTCGACGCATTTCGGGATGTTGGAGGCGGCCAGGGGGTCTTAACTGGATGGACCTCGAGAAAATCGGTCAAGAAGGGGGGATAAAAAGCAAATCCGTTCAAAATCGGCCCCATGACCCCTCCAAGGTCCATCTGGTGAAATTTTTCATCCCGGATCTGGTTCGACGGTCCGAGGGCATGAAAACAGCCCCAGGAGGCCGAATAAGCCAAAAACCTCCTCGAGCCCAGAACCTCGAACCTCGCTCGCCCCCCCCCACACACCCCTCCTGCTCGACGGAGCCCATGGTGGGCCACCTCAGAGCCCCCAGCCGGCTCTAAGCGGGATTGTCATGTCATGTGCGCTGTCGCATCTGGCGCACTCTGCCCGCGACCCGCGGACCTGGCGCGGCCAGAGAGAGCATGTGGCACACTCGGCGCACCTGGAGCACGCGGCGCATCTGGCGTAGCAGGCGCGCCTAGCACGCTTGGGCCTCGGGGCGCCTGGTGCGCGTGCCGCATCTGGCACGCGTGGCGCACCCCGCGGAGGACGCACAACTGGCGTCGAGATTGATTCCCGATGGCTGTCCGTCCGATGGCGACGTTTGTCCACATCGGGTGCTACGTACTTACAAGGCGAGAGGTGGAACGGGAGTGAGCGTGACAGTCTGTGGTGTTCCCGCTGGGGTTTGACCCCGCCCCCTCTCCCGTCCCCCGGGTCTGGAAGTGGAAGTGGCGCGACGGGTTAGATCGTCCAAGAAGGCCCAAGAAGGCTACACAGTGGCTTCAGACAGCTCAAGATGGTTATCACTATAACACAACATCGCGCAATATTGCTCAAGGTGCTCTCCAGCATGCCTCCGAGAGGCTCCAATTCTGCCACAAAACGGCTCCAAATGGCCACTAAACCTTCGAATGGTGCCACCGAGCTCCGGTTTGGCAGCTCTCTCTCTTTCTCTTTTTTGTTTTATTTCTCTCTCTCCTTTTTTCCTCTCTCTCATACACATTATATCTCTGTTCCACTGTATGATCCTACGCTTACCTGATCAGGGCAACTCGCCTGGCAATCGCTTCTGGATGGGCTGGTGGGGACACGCGAAGCGTCAATAATGCAGCGCACATTGCACATCATGTGGGCCAATGTCTGTCGAGGTCGACCCTTTCGCCACGACGCCGGACGAGAGAGGCGGGGAAGACTATCCAGGGGAGAGACATCGAAACACACAGCAACGGATGCACGAAGACAGTGCCTTTGTGAGCTGCTGTCTCTTGCCGTTAATCTTTTTCTCGTAGTACTTCTCCACGTGACCGACCTCGCGCGGCACCCACTCCCAGATCTGCTGCCCAGCATTGCAGCAACACGCGCCGATCAAAATCATCAAGAGGAGAATGGGAACCACTGGGCGCAATGGCAAATCGAGGAGCCAGGGTGACGCCCGACACAGAAAAGGCACCCGAACAGAAGAACTCCGCGATATCGTCCTCCCCTCCTTCTCCTCCTCCTCCTCCTCCTCCTTCTCCTTCTCCACCTCCTCCTCCTCCTCCTGCTACTCCTCCGCCTCCTCCTCCTCCTCCTCGATATCGCCCCTTCCTGCCTCCCCCAATGGTTTTCGTGCAATAACTCGGGCCTCCAACAACCGTTCAGGACAATTGCGCGCTCGGCGAGGCGCAGCTGCCGCAACCTATGCCGGGTTGGAAAATCTTCGAGAACATATGAACGCGCCCGAAAACCTGGCATCTCGAACACCTGGCGTCGAGAGGCGCCCGAAGGACAGAACGCGGGGTCACGTGCGCGGGCCGTGCACGCGACCACGGTCTTGAAGCAATCTGGCAGGCGGCAGGCTCGAAGCTCGGGCTCCAGGAGAGACAGTACATGGATCATCTATTCGAACCCTTACACGCTCGGGGAGAAGTCTGATCCCATCCCCGACGCCCCGAAATCAGCATGTGCAGCATGGGTCATGGCTTTGGGGTTCGATGGTTTTGTCAACTTAAGCGCCCTCCATTGTTTTGGGCGCCCAGAATTGGCACGGACAAAACAAGGTACGATGTCCAACAACACATGTTGTCCCAAACCGGCAGCGGCCGCTGTTTGGCAGGCGGCCTTCTGTCTCAAATGGGCAACGTCCGCGGTGACACCGACAACGAATCCTGTTATTGATTGAACAATAGATGCTGCTGGTCATCGTGCACATTGTTTCCGTACGTATCTCGATCGTACCGAGCTGCCGCACCCCCGGCAATCATTCTGAAGGTCTGAGTGGTGCATAAATCCGCCGACCCTGTCGGCGTGTGTGCGGTGTCTGTCCGGTCCCGTCGTCGGGGAGCCTTCTTTCGTCCCCTCTTTCCCATCCTCCTCTCCCGTCGGGGGAGAGAGAGAGAGAGAGAGAGAGAGAGAGAGAAAGAGAGAGAGAGAGCACCCTTCCTCGTTCGGGGAACGGATTCGCAACTTGATGGGATTCCATCCACGTCCTCATTACGTCAAAGGGAAGCCCCTTTCCTTTGTCCCTTCCCCAGCGGGGGGGGAGGTCCCGGGGGGGGGTAAAATTCGCATTGCCTCTGGGGGTCCTCCTCGCCCACGCCGGTCCTTCTCCGGCGCGCCGGTCCTCCTCGGGTCCTCCTCCCCAGGTGGGGGGGGTCCCAGGGGGGAGTCCTTTTCCTCCTCCTCCTCCTCCTCCTCCTCCTTATCTCCGCCTCCCCCTCCTCCTCCTCCTCCTCCTCCTCCTCCTCCTCCTCCTCCTCCTCCTCCTCCTCCTCCTCTGTCTTTCAATGTAGGCGGCACCGGCCGTCAGGCCTTCACAATCGAAGCCAGAAGAGGATAACATTGGGTGAAGATAGATCTAAAACCTCTGAGATCCGGCGGCTCTGGAGGATGTCTCGGGCGCCGCGGTCTTCTCAGAGCGTTCTAGAACGCTCCGAGAGCGTTCCGCTCTGGAACGGAGTTACCCGAACGCTCCGAGAGCAGACGAGACTTGACCGAACGCCCTTCAGCAACACGCCCTACTGAGGGGCAACCTCCGGGGGGGTCTGGCTCAAGGGCGGGGCAGCGAGCTGGAATCGGCGATACATCGCCGATGGACCGGCGAGAGGCCCCCGATGGCGAATCCGCACGCTCCTGGGCGGGGTGCGCGGGCCCACATCGGCACTCCGCGTGCGCACGGCACCGCATTCCGAGCATACACGGGCGGAACAGCGAATTGACGTCCCCAAATTGCCGAGTGCATCCGGCAGAACGGGGGACTGCACTGGTCACTGGTATCCTGCAACTGCCGATGCCGAGTGACTGATGCAGAACTCCTCAATCGACTCGTCAACACAAGCGTAAACTGTCGAAGGTCCGCGAAGATTTCTTGGATCGGCGCTGGATATTCCTGGCGGCGCCGCCGCCGTCGCGCTGCGCGCTCCAGGGTGGGGTGGGGTGGGGGCAAAGGCAGATCCAAGAAAACCGCGCGGACCTAAGAAAGCTTAACTATGTTTATGACGTTCCTTTCCTTTCAATCTCCAAGCTGCATTGGGCCCAATGTGTATACATTACCGCAATAAGACGTAGAGGCAGAGGACTATCTTGATACCCTCCCTCGTCGTCGTCGTCGTCGTCGTCGTCGTCGTCGTCGTCGTCGTCGTCGTCGTCCACCTCCCTCCCTGGCTCTCTCGGTTTTGCAGCTCCCTGCAAAGACGGAGACTTCCGAAATGGGGTCCCAGTATATGGGGCCGGATGATCATGTCAAAGCGCAAGTGCATCGCCGATGCACCAGCGATGTCGGCGATGCATCGGCGTAGAGTAAGTTTAGGCTACGCATCGAGCCGCATCGCCGATGCATCGGCGATGCGGCGGCATCCTGAAACCCCATCTACTTCGACCTCATTTTTAGAGAAACATCAAATGCATAAACATAAGCTTTTAGAGCTCCGCGCGAATTTCCGGGATCGGCACTAGAACCCCCTCACTGGCGCGCGGCGCGCGTCAAGGGCGGCGATGGAGGCGCCGCCAGGCGGGCCAAACTCCGATCCAAGGCATCCGCGCAGAGTTCCGAAAGTTTATGCTTGTGCAGTTTATTTTTCTCTGGGATCAGGGCAGCGTGGTAAACGTTTTCTTACTCGGCGTTTCGACATTGGGCGGACGGGGGGGGGGAGTGCGTCCTGTGGGGGGGAGACTCCGCCTGCTGGAAACAGGAGGCGCCCAAAAACAGCCAAGACCCACTCCATGGGAGGGGGCGGGAGGGGGGGACCGAGGGCCCGCGCCGATCTGCAAAACAGTGCATGAGAAAACGACCACCTGGAAGAATCAGGGCAGCATGTGCTTTCGATGGTGCGCCCAGGCGCCGTGCCGAGGGCCGGCGTGCGGCCTTCCGCGCTGCACCCCGCGCGCGACTCCGGCTGGGGGGCGGTGCGGGGCGCGCAGCGCGCAAGCACCCCGCGGGCGGGCGGGCGGCCGCGGCCTGCGGGCGGTCGGGTGCGCCGACGGGGGGGGGCCTGGAAGAGGGTTGGGGGGAACGTCCGCGGGGGGCTGGCTCATGGGGGGCGCCGGAACGCTCTGGAACGGAGTGTCTAAGAACGGTTTAAAACATTATTTTGGGGAGACAATTTTAAAAATGGTTTCCCCCAGCGCTGTAGTGCGCCTATAGAAAACGAAAAGGAGGCGGGGCAAACTGGATCGCTGGAGACGTCCCCGCGACCGCCCTGGCGCCCTGCGTGCAGGGGCAGATTCCTGCGCACCCCCTCTTGGCGTCAGGCCACGCCTGCCACGCTGCGCGACCCCGGGTAGAGACTGCGCTCAAGGACCACTCCCTGCGCACCGCGCGCCCTGTTTGGGTTGCGAAGCGGCGCTGAACACGCAAATGCGGCACGCCGCTAATAGATTTTGTACAACGGGGGCGATGTTTAACTCCAAAACCCAATGGCGAAAACCCAATGTAAAGATTCATTCTCTGATCGGAAGACGGGAACATCCCCATGTGGATATACGACATTGAATGCGAAAATGCCAAGCGCCAGCGCGCGCGCGGCGGCATGCCGCTGATCGATTTTTATACAGCGGGAGCCATGTTGAACTCCAAAGCCCAATGGCGAAAACCCAATGTAAAAAATCATTCTCTGATCGGAAGACGGGAACATCCCCATGTGGATATACGACGCTGAATGCACAAATGACAATCGCCAACGCGCGCGCGGCGGCGGCATGCCGCTGATAGGTTTTATACAACGGGGGCGATGTTTATCTCCAAAACCCAATGGCGAAAACCCAATGTAAAAATTCATTCTCTGATCGGAAAACGGGAACATCACCATGTGGATATGCAACACTGAATGCAGAAATGTCGGGCGCGCGCGGCGGCGGCATGCCGCTGATTATATATATATACACACACATGACACAACAGGGCGAAATTTCGCGCGCGCGCGGCGGCGGCATGCCGCTGATCGATTTTTATACAACGGGAGCCATGTTGAACTCCAAAACCCAATGGCGAAAACCCAATGTAAATATTCAGTCTTTGATCGGAAGACGGGAACGTCCCAATGTGGACGTACGACACTGAATGCAAAAATGCCAAGCGCCAGCGCGCGCGCGGCGGCGGCATGCCGCTGGTAGATTGGATACAACGGGAGCGATGCGGCACTCCAAAAACAAATGGCGAAAACCGCATGTAACAATTCATTCTCTGATCGGAAGACGGGGGCATCACAATGTGGATACAAAACACGGTATTCAAAAATGCCAATCGCCAGCGCGCGCGGCGGCGGCATGCCGCTGGTAAATTTGATACAACGGGAGCGATGCTGAACTCCAAATTCCATTGGCGAAAAACCAAATGTAAACATTCATTCTCTGATCGGACGACGGGAACATCTCCATGTGGATATACGACACTGAATGCACAAATGCCAATCGCCAACGCGCGCGCGCGCGCGGCGGCGGCGGCATGCCGCTGATCAATTTTTCTACAACGTGAGCCATGTTGAACTCCAGAATCCACTGGCGAAAACCCAATGTAAAAACTCATTCTCGGATCGGAAAACGGGAACATCCTCACGTGGATATGCGGCACTGAATCCACAAATGCCAATCGCCCGCGCGCGCGCTGGCCGCGGCATGCCGCTGATATGTTTATTCAACGGGAGCGAGGTGGAACTCCAAAACCCAATGGCGAAAACCAAATGGAAACATTCATTCTCTGATCGGAAGAGGGGAACATCCCCATGTGGACATACGACGTTGAACGCCCAAGTGCCAATCGCCAACGCGCGCGCGCGCGGCGGCGGCATACCGCTGATAGACTGTATATCACGGGCGCGAGGTTGAACTTCAAAACCCAATGGCGAAAACCCAATGTAACAATTAATTCTCTGATCGGAAGACGGGAACATCCCCATTGGCATTCTCCCTGGTGCCGAGGTGTGTACAAGTGGCATTGATCGGCATAAACGGAATTTTTTCCAGGGGGGACAGATAACACAAATAGTTATTCGGATGCGAATTAATGGCAGTCGGGATCCGAGGGGGGGGGAGGGGGGGGTCATAATTTGTTTAAACCGCTTTTAAACATTATCCTCGTCCTGCAACCCCGTCCGAGGGCATCCTGCGCCGCAGGGTTCGAGCCAGTTGTCCGTGCACGGGACCTCGGGCCCCTGGCCGGGAGCGACTGCGGCCCCGCCTGCGTCGAGAAGCCCTGTGCGGCCGAGGGCAAGAGCAGGGGGAGCAGCAGACGAGACTTGACCGAACGCCCTTCAGCAACACGCCCTGCTGAGGGGCAACCTCCGGGGGGGGCTGGCTGAGGGGGAGAAGGCATCGAGCTGGAATCGGCGATACATCGCCGATAGACTGGCGAGAGGCCCCCGATGGCGAATCCGCACGCTCCTGGGCATCGTGGACTGTCGGACCTCTGTCGGTGATCTGTGGACGATTGGGGGTCGATGCATCCCCCCTGAGCATATCTCAACCCTAAGGTCGCCCCTGATCCATGGCCCGAGGCATCATGTGCGCGGATGGGTGCGCGGGCCGGGGAGCGTGCTGAGAGGAGAGGACGGGCCGTGAAATCCGGGAGGCCTCGTGGCCCTGGCCAGGATGTCCGCCAGCCCGTGGTGATCACCCTCCACCCCCTTGGGCGCCTCCGAGGCAGCGGGCGGGGGCCTACAGCTCGTCCGGCCGTGGCCGCTGCCTGGACTGCGAGGCGCGCTGCCTGGCCGCGGCCGCCTCCGCCAGCGCGGAGCTCCTGCCCGACGGGTACACCCGCCGGTGCGTGGGCTGCGGCGCCTCGGGCGTCGGGGGGTTACGGGATGCGGCGGCAGTCTTGGACAGCTGCTGCCTGACATAGTCGTCCATTTTTTTGAACTCCGCGTCGTCGCAGAACTCGTACTCCTGGCCCACGTCGCACGGCAGGGGGCCCTCGTCGTCGCCCTCCGCCGCGGGCTTGCACCACAGGCGGAGGGGGATTTTGTGGAGCTCCTCGGATCTGAGGCCCCTGTCGGGGTTGCTGGCGTAGGAAGTCAACAGCTTGAATATCTTCTTAATTTTTTTCTTGCGGTCTTTGACCGTGGCTAGAATGGCGCCTCCTCGGGACACTTCGCTCGTGAAAGCGTCCAACGTGAGGTACTCTACCTTGCGCTCCTTCATCCTTCTTGCCAGCCCGTCGACGAACATGCGGGGGTCCGCGTACCCCTGGGGGATGATGCCCTTACCGGTGTACATGTACAAAGTGTCCATCACAGCAAGTGGCAAATCCTCTTCCAATGGGGCCTCCTTGCAGACCTCCTCGTCGTATATCGTCTCGGGAAGGAACATCCACGACACTGCAACCTGCAGATCGTCGCCAAGCTTCTCCACCTGGTGGAGCATGGCATAGGGGATGAAGATGCAGTCCCCAGCCTCCTGGATGAGCTCGTAGTCCGCCACCATGCCTTCAGCACGAAGTGGAGTGCCCCAAGGCTCATGCAACCCCGAGAGGTAAAACAATTCCCAAACTTTTTCATGGCCAGGACCCCGGGTTTCCCAGGCGACCCGGGGGTGTTTCGCGTGGGCTCCGAGACGGCAGCCCGCCCAGGAGGGCCCCAACACGGGCCTGGGTGGTCCAACATGGCCCCGAGTCGCCGAAACATTGTTCCAAGACGCTCAAGATGGCCCACAGACGGCCCAAGAGGCCCCAAGACGCCCCAAGCGGCTCCAAGAGGCCCTCAAGAGGGCCCCGAGATGCCCAAATCATACATTTCCTATCAGTCGTTTTGAAAGATTTCGACGCTGCAAGACGGCCCAGGAGGCCCCAAAGATCGCCCCAACAAGCCCCTAGTGTGCGTCTCAGACGGCCCAAGATGGCCCCAAGACTGCCCAGTAGGGCACTAAGATAGGCTCAAGAAGAGGCCTCAGAGAGGGAACCCGACCCGACATTTCGAGCCTTTCGCCCCAAGATGGCCCCCGAGACCGCCAGCAGGCCCCCAAGAGCCCCCCCACAAGCCCCAGGAGGCCCCCAAGAGGCCCCCAAGACTCCCCCAAACCGAATCCAAGAGTCTTCCGAGAGGCCTCCCAAGAGATCCCCACAAGCATCCCATAGGTCTCTGACCTACAACCCAGGCGCGGTGGCGGGATCGGCTGAATGCTATTCGATCCGCCCCCCCCTGTGGTCTTTGAGGGGTGCCTGGCGTGCTGAACTTCAAATGGACTTTGGTTATCTTTAAATGAAGCTTCGGCACAGCGCGCTGGCCACCCGGCATTTGCAGTGCACGTTGATCTTCCCGCGCGTCATGTTCTCCACAGGGCCCCCAAGACGGCCAAGATGGTCCTAGATGGCCTCTAAGTTCGCCCAATCTTGTCAAAGATGGTCTCCAAGACGGGCCACAAGGGTCCAAGATGCTTCCAAGTTCGCTCAAGAAGCAACCAAGACGGCCCAAGCTGGCTTCAAGATGGCCCAAGACGGCTCAAAAGACGGCCCCCCAAAGCCCCCGGGACGGCCGAAGCGGCCTCCTGAACAGTATCTAGGAAGGCCCTGAGGAGGCAAAACCAACGTTTTCCCTCATGTATTTGAAAGACTTTGACACTTGCTTCTTTTCGGCCTTTCAACCGCCAGAGACTGCCTAAGAGTCCCCTAAGATCGCCCCACGATCGCCTAAATGGCATCGGAGATGGCTTCAGAAGGGCGAGGTCCACAAGACGGCCCAAGAGGGCCCCAATGCGGCCCAACCCAAGAGGCCTCCAAGACGCCAGGGATGGTCTCCAGGACGGCCCAGAAGCGCCCCACGAGGGCCCCATTTCGGTTCAGAGAGGCCCCCAAGACGGCTTTCGACGGCGGCAGACGGGCCAGGAACGCCCTGAGACGGTCCAAGAGGCCCCGAACAAGCCCCCCAAGTCCCCAAGAGGCCCAAGGAGGACCCCAAGAGGCCCGCAAGAGGCCCCATAAAGCTCCCAAGAGACCCCAAGAGTGTTCTCCTCCTCCTCCTCCTCCTCCTCCTCCTCCTCCTCCTCGTCCTCGTCCTCCTCCTCTTCCTCCTCCTTGTCCTCCTCATGCTCCCTTTCCTTTTTACCTTCATTCTCCTCTTCCTCTTGTCTTCCCCGAAAAGTTTCAACGACGGCTGTGGGAACACATCGTCCGACAACTCTAGCCCAATTTCCGGCCACATAGGCGCTTCCAAAACGGCATGGGGGGCGGTGGTTCGCTGTACGTTGGCGTCTGCGATCCGCCGTCCCTATGACTTACCACAAGAGTGCACTGCATGCTGAGCTTTCGGTGGTTTCTGGTTTTGCAAAAACTCCCACTGGGACTTCGCCCCTTTCCGCCGGCCACCCAGAAAACTCATCAAAATCCAGAACGGGCGAAGAACGCCCTAAGACGGCCAGAGAGGTCCCCAAGAAGACCGCAAGACGCCCAAGGAGGCACCCAAGAGGCCTCCAAGAGGCCCCCAGGAAGCTCCCAAGCGGCCCCAATAATGACCCAAGAAGTTCACAAGAGCACAAGAGGTCTCGTCATCCTTCTCCTCATCCTCCTTTTTCCTCCCTCTCCTCATCCTCCTCTTCCTCCCCCACGTGTTCCCCGAAGGGCTTACACATCGGCTGGGGGAACGCATGGTCCGATATCGTGCCCACGTTTGGTCACCTAGGCGTATCCTAAAATGCAGGGGGCGGCGGTGATTCGCCGTAGGCGTCTTCGATAGTCCATGTCTCGCATCTTGTGCTGGACGATCAGATCAACGTGGTCTGGGTCCAGGAAAACCCAATCAGTCCACGCGTTGTTCAATGGATTCGTCCTTTTGAACTTGTTTCCGCGAGCCCACTGCAAATCCTCGTCATACCAGAAGCTGTTCAGGAACACCCAGCGCTTCCGGCCAGACAGGAGACAATTCACGTTCCACTCCTTGTCGTAGTGGAACTGTGACCGGGTCCGTCCAGAGGCGATCCACAAGTTGGCCTCAAAAAGATGGGTCATCCAGTCGTGCCTCTTCTCGTGAGGGTACTCGTGCTTCCCCAACTTGTAGGGCGGGGCGGAGCGCCTGTCCACCATCTTCCTGCGCGAGCCGCAGAGCAGCACCGACGGGTGTGCCACCTCCCAGGCCATGACCTGCGGGATGATCGACACCACGTACATGTTGACACCTGCCTCGACCCTGAGGTACTCGGATATGTTCAGCCTGTGCCTGGGCGCTATCGTGTCCAGGTCTTTGTAGGCCGTGGTGTTTCCCCTTCCCTCGACCTTGGGCTCCAGCTTGGCGTCCACCCATCCGAAGCGCTCGGCTAAGACCTCCCTGGTCCAGTTCATGGCGGGCCAGCCGAGCTGGGCACCTTTGAGGTTTGCCGGCAGATAGCCGTCCATGTGCTTGCTCCAGAAATCTCGAGGGTGCGGATAGGGCTTCTTGTAGACCAAGTCATCTGACGGTAGGGGGTCTTTCCACGAGAAAAGGCGCTCCAAATGACCCTTCGGTGGGTTGTGTACCTCCGACAGATCCATGGTCTTGGCCGGCTTCCGCTGCAACCACCAAGAGTTGCACTCAGCCGCATCCATGATCCCGTCGCTGTTTTTGTCGAAATATGAAAAATGGTCTTCGGGGAGACCGATCCGCTTCCAGTCCTCTGCAGTCACACGACCTTGGCACGCCCGAAATGGGGACGGACAAAACTTGGGACGATGCCCACCAACACATGTTGCCCCAACCGACAGCGGTCGCTGTCTGGCATGCGACGTTTGTCCCGAGCTGACAACGTCCGCGGCGATGCCGACAGCGAGTTCTGCTAAAATGTGTGGTGAGTTGATGTTGGTCTTCGTCCCCATTCTTCCGCCCCCACTTCGATCGTACCGACGACCGTTCCCGTCGCCGATGGCGTCGAGCACCTGCTTGGGCCCCTCATACCGTGGAGTGTCATCGCCCCAGAACGGGTCTATCGCGTCGATGAGGTCGTAACCTTTGATGCCTTTCTTCCGCGCCTTGTCCGCCTTGTTCTGGAGCCTGACATCGAACACCACATCGGAGGTAACCAAAAATGATCCTGGCCTAGAAGTCCCCCAACGTTTCCCGCTATTTTGGAGCACATGTGGCCCTCTAGGCCTCCTGTGGGGTGCTCTGGAGGCCATCTGGATCTCCGTGTAAAGCGGGGTCATCTCGGGCCCGAACCACTTCTGGCAACACCAGACCAATACAGACACCGCTAATCTCCACACCTTTTGCCCGGGTTCGCTCTGAGCAGGATCCTGGAGCGAATCCAGCCGCGGCGACCAGGCCCCCCTCCCCTGGGGGCGCCCAAAAAGCGTAGACGAGGGGCAGATATCGGAATCAATACGTTTCTCTTCCTTGATGTCAGCCTTTGAGAGCGAACGATCGGGGGGGGGACCAGTTCAGAGGTAGAAACATCGACCTGAAATCAGCGACACAACACCAGCGGCGATATGCCCTCGAGAGCGAATCCGCACTTTCCCAGGCGCGGTGTAGGCTATGTGGCCCCTGTCGGCGACGAATGTGCGTTTGAGGGTCGATGCGCTCCCCCCCCCCGAGCATAAGGTCGGGCACTTTTGAATAGCGTGTCGCGGCGGCGGCCCTGGCGACACGCCATGCCCTGCGCGCTGATAGCGTGTCGCTCCGCTCATCGGGGCGGGAGGCTGGGAATGGCTCGTGACGTCGACGTTCGGGGACCTGGAAGTGGACAGCGTGCCGCGCCGAAGCGCGGTGGGCCAGAGTCGGCGGAGCGACACGCTAAGCCAAAGTTCCTGACCGCATCTCCCCCCACCCCTAACGCTGCCCCTGAATTTTGCCCTGGAGCTTGGATCCGCCCCGCGCCCTGGCTGCCAACAGCAGGCCCAGCAGCAGGCGCCCCCACAGGCCCGCGCAGTGGCTGGCCATGGCCACCGCCACCTCACCACGCAGCCCCGCGCCTCCCGCCGCGCGAAGGAGGGGCGGGCGAGCCCTAAGCCCAGATGCACATATATTACGCTGCTGGAGGGGCGGCGGCGAGCGGGATGAATGTTGGGTTCCCTTTGGTTCTTTGCAAGCTCTGGGGTGCCAAATCAGGCCTGCGTGCGTAAGGTGGGCGTGTGGGCGTGCGCAAGAAGTGTACGCTGGCATCCTTTATACTAGAGCTCCTGAGCATGCCTCGACGAATTTTCAATGGTCGTTTTGTGTGCGGTTCTTTTGGGTATGCCTAAACCAGTTGGGAGTGGTGGTACCTTTCAAAAGAATCAGAGGGAACACGAGGTGACTGGAAAAGAGGGGAGGCGGAGGGGGGGGAGGAGAAGGAATAGGACTGCACTGTCTTGCTGATGCCCTCCAAGGCAGGCGCAACCCTGATGAGTCGGGTAGGGCACACAGACAGGGGAGGGAGGAGGAATATGTGGAAGACGGGGGGAAAGAGTGGGAATAACCATTATTTACCCCGCTCGCTGCACCCATGACACGGCGTAGCCAACTTCACTCGTCGGACCTCGATCGACGATCCAAGAGACGTGTTGAAGTCAACGTGCGTGTGCCCACAGAAGGTCCGCCAAAGGCTTCAACGTTACCAAAGAACATTCAAGAACCAAACCTGCATCTGGCGGTCCTGTGGAAGACCTTCCCGGCCTCTGCAAATCCTGTGCCACTGTCCGCCAAGGACTGACCAGGGCGGGCGAGTGGGAGACAAGCCACATCAGGACCCCCAGGACCTCTGCTGACCCACACAACTCGGCGGCGCGCCCAGTGGGGAAGGCACAAGGGGTGGGCCTTCTCAGAAGGCTCGAAGACATCCCGTCATCTGAGACAACCATCCCGGCCTTCTCCGAAGACGCAGGCGGCTTCTCAGAAGGCCGGAGGAGGGCTTCTGCGAAGCCCCGCCGCCCTCTGAGCGGGCCTGCCCCCTCTCCCTTCCCCCCTCGGCGCGCCGCCGAGCAGCTGTGCTGTCGCGGTGGCAGTTTCCTCTGCAGGAGGAGCGCAGCCTGTCGCAGGCGCGCCCTGGCGCCGACTTCACGAGACCCTCTGCAGCAGCCGTGGGCGCGGACAGCCGACCGCCCCGTCGGGCCCGCAGATGCTTGACAATCGCTCTCGCGCGGAGGGTCGGCTTGCCCTGCGGGGGAGGCCAGCGAGAAAGAGTGACGTGGATACCGCGCCACTGCTGCAGCCAGCTCGGTTCCAGAGTGGGAGTCCAACCAGGCCCTTCGGCGGCCGGTAACCAACAATGTTTTCCCTGAACTCCTCTCCCAACCGTCTTGGGGAAGGGCTTACTTTAACTGTTACACCCGACGATGACAGGGAAAGCCCTCCCCTGGGAGGACCGATCGAATCGTGAACCTCCATTTCCTTCAAACAGACTGCGCTCGCCAGCGTGGACCCGGAACAGTGGGTTCTTGCCCTCTCGATGTGCGATATTGTTTGTGGCGCAGCTGGTGTAGATTGAAACAGGTGTGGTGTTGCACACTGCATACGTAGATGTCTGTATTTCTGCATGTCTCTCTTCATATATATATATATATATAAACATGGTTGTATTTAACATCCATATGCATATCTCTATGTTTTGCCATATGTGCGATGAGTTCTACGTGGTGCAGTGAATGTTGCGCTGGCTATGTCGTGTAAATTATTTTGTGAAACTTACGTGAGTGCAAGCTATGTGGCGTAACCTACGTATGCATCCGCAAAAACCAACCAGCGCACGCGGCGCCCACGATGCGCCGACGGGCGCCCACCAGCAGAAACGCCAGCACTGCCAGCCATCGGCACGAGACGCCCACGCGGCGCCCACTGGTGCCCGCCTGCCGAAAGCCTGCAGATGCTGGCCAGCGCATGAGGCGCCGCCGAGGTGCCCGCGGGCGCCCACCCGCCGAAAATCCTGAAATACCAGCCGATTGCTTAGAAATACCAGCCGATTGCTTATCGGCGGCGCGCCCGGGGGGATGGGGCCCAGAAAACGGCCCTCGAAGGCCGAGAATGGTAAACAAACCTTCCCGAACCCAGAACCTCGAATCGCTCACTCCCCTTCCAGCTGGCCGGGACCAATACTCCGCCACCCCTAACGCGGGGCTTCTCAGAAGCCCTCCAGCCTTCTGAGAAGCCGTCTGTGCCTTCGGAGAAGACTGAAGCACTTCTCGGAATGCCGAAGGCATTCTGAGTCTTCCGAGACGGCCCGCCCCATCTGACTTCCCCCCTGAGCTCGCCGCCGAGCTTACCACCGAAACACGAACCCCTTAGTGCAAGCAGGTTCCCTACAGGCTCTCAAGAACCCACAAGAGGCTCTCCCGAGGCACCCAAGCAGTGATTTTCTTTTGTCGATGGCCCTGGGCTCGTGGGATATGACTCGCCGTCAGCTGCCTACAACGCCACCAACGCACAAATCCTGCCCACCTCCCCTTGTGGACAGTAGGAGCAGAAACACGTGTTACGGACTCGGTGCGTGGGCGATTTCCACCACTGCATCGGCGAATGCTCTCCCAACAACCTGTGGCTGTTTTCCTGCTGAGCGGGGTGCAGAGAAGCGGAGGAGGAAAACAGGAGAGGAGGAGGAGGAGGAGGAGGAGGAGGAGGAGGAGGAGGAGGAAACGGAGGAAGAGGAAGATAAAGAGCAGGCAACGTGGTCGTACAAATTGGCCGGCACGCGCACTGAAAGGTTGAACTACAACGGCAAATCAGTGAGAATACCTCGACCAACCATCAAGCGAGATCATACACCATAACTTGCCTGGCGTGTGTGTGTCAGCCTCAAGGCATCCCCCCTAAAGGGCAGCGCAAGTTTCCGTCACGCTCGGGCTCCTCCCAAGGAGCCCAATGGGCCCCACCCCATGCTGGCTCGATGTTCTACCGCCGCTGCCATAGGTAGCAGAGGAAGGTGGAGGAGCATGAGGACGAGGAGGAGGACGAGGAGGAGGAGGAGGAGGAGGAGGAGGAGGAGGATGAGGAGGAGGAGGAGGAGTAGGAGGAGGAGGAGGAGAAGAGGAGGACCTCCCCATCCTCCCTTCTCCCCCGTCCTACATATGATCGTGGTGGTGGAAAATTGGCCCATCACCCAAAGGGCTTCCGCACGGCCCAAAACGTCCCCGAAGAAGATGCACCCGGGGCGGCTGAGGCAGCCAGGAAGCTCCCAAGAGGCCTCCTGCACCCGCCCAAGAGGCCCCCCAGAAGGCGACACAGCCCCCCAAAAGCCTCCCAGGCTGCACACGACGTTCTCAAGACGACATGCGAAGCCCTCACGAGACACCCGAGGGCCTCGAGAAAGCTCTCAGGAGGCCACGACGACACCCCCCAGCATGCCCACAAGACGAGCGCCGCACGAGTTCCCACATCTCTCTCCCTGGCCCTCCTCCTCTCCCTTCCCCTCTTCCACCCAGCCAGGCCAGGCCAGGCACGAGAAGCTTACACATGACACGGCCAGACTACAACGCATCCAACCTCCACATCCATGTGGCGGCGCGCCCAAGGAGGGGAAGCTACAGCGGGCGGGCCTTCTCAGAAGGCTCAAAAGGCTTCTGGCCTTCCGCGAAACTTTCGAATCCTCCTCCGAAACCACAAGCAGACGGCTTCTCAGACGGCCGGAAGAAGCCTTCTGCGAAACCCCACAACCTTCTGAGAAGGCCTGCCCCCTCTCACTTCCCCCCTCGGCGCGCCGCCGAACAGACCTAACCTCCACCTCCATACTCCTCCCGTGCCAACCACCATGCGTGGAAATACCTTGCCTCGCTCTCTCCCCCTCCTCCTCCTCCTCCTCCTCCTCCTCCTCCTCCTCCTCCTCCTAGCCCCCCCAAGACCAGGAGGCGGGGCCGCGCGGGGGGCCGCCACCCTCCCACCGCGCCAGGAGCAGCGCCGCCGCGGCGCGGGCCATGCAGGCTGCTGCCGCCGTGCCGAGTGGCCTTGCTGGCAGGCCCCTGCGGGCGCTGCCGCTGCTTTTTGGGGTCTTCAACCCCCTGTCGGCGGTCAGGAGCCGAGCCGAGGACATCGCGGACGAGAAAGGAAACTTTGGCGGCGTCGGCCTGGTGGGCACGCAGAATCGAGCGGCTCCTGGCCATTCACATGGACTCCAGCACGATCAACGAGGCCGACTGGTCATCGATTCTGGCTGGGGAACTGGAGTGTTTACAAACAAGTCAAGTGGATGCAGGATCTTGTGGGGACGACG